AAGAAATTTTTTTGAAAAGTTGATAAAGCTGGGATTTGAACCTGCGTCCCCTCTCCCCAGCCGTCAGTTACTACTCCGGTGTCTTGACCACCATACCACTCGAACACTAGAAGCCAGTCACGATTTCGCTTAAAAAGCCCTGTGACGGTCAGCTATGCAATAGACCTTTGAGGGGTCCCCTGCACCCCCTAATTAACCTATAAAAATTTGCTCGAGCGGACGTGTTTGGACCTTTGACCCCTACTTAGGGTTCGAGTTTGAAAATTATAACTTAATATTAAAGTGAGTTAGACGGTTTCGAAATTTGAACCCCAGCCTACCATTTTATTTATTTATTTTTATTTTTCTTATTATTCCATTATGCGTTCTTTAACAAAGAAAGATGCATACTTTTACTCAAAGAACACCTTACGCATGATAAACTGTCGAATATATTGTAAAAATAATTTAAAACAATGGAAATAAGCCAATTTTCCTGGATTTTTACAGTTTTTACCCATTATTCGCTATTTTACCAATTTAAAAAAATTATTTCCTCCATGTATGACCCTCTAAAATATGGAAAAACACATTGAATAAATAAGATGATGCAAAATAATGGGAAGAAAAAAAAAGAATTTTTTTTGAAAAGTTAATAAAGCTGGGATTTGAACCTGCGTCCCCTCTCCCCGGCCGTCAGTTACTACTCTGGTGTCTTGACCACCATACCACTCGATCACTAGAAGCCAGTCACGATATCGCTTAAAAAGCCCTGTGACGGTCAGCTATGCAATAGACCTTTGAGGGGTCCCCTGCACCCCCTAATTAACCTATAAAAATTTGCTCGAGCGGACGTGTTTGGACCTTTGACCCCTACTTAGTGTTCGAGTTTTAAAATTATAACTTAATATTGAAGTGAGTTAGACGGTTTCGAAATTTGAACCCCAGCCATCCATTTTATTTATTTATTTTTATTTTTTTTAATTATTATTCCATTATGCGTTCTTTAACAATAGAAAGATGCATACTTTTACTCAAAGAACACCTTACGCATGATAAACTGTCGAATATATTGTAAAAATAATTTAAAACAATGGAAATAAGCCAATTTTCCTGGATTTTTCCAGTTTTTAACCATTATTCGCTATTTTACCAATTTAAAAAAATTATTTCCTATATGTATGACCCTCTAAAATATGGAAAAACACATTGAATAAATAATATAATGCAAAATAATGGGAAGAAAAAAAAAGAAATTTTTTTGAAAAGGTGATAAAGCTGGGATTTGAACCTGCGTCCCCTCTCCCCAGCCTTAAGTTACTACTCCGGTGTCTTGACCACCTTCCCTCTCGATCACTAGAAGCCAGTCACGATTTCGCTTAAAAAGCCCTGTGACGGTCAGCTATGCAAAAGACCTTTGAGGGGTCCCCTGCACCCCCTAATTAACCTATAAAAATTTACCCCAGCGAACATGTTTGAACCATTGACCCCTACTTAGGGCCCGAGTTTGAAAATCATAACTTAATATTAAAGAGAGTTAGACGGCTTTGAAATTCGAACCCCTGTCAGCCACTTTATTTCATTTTTTTTTATTATTATTCCATTATGCGTTCGTTAACAAAGAAAGATGCCCGATTCTACTTATAGAACACCTTACGCATGATAATCTGCCGAATATATTGTAATCATAATTTTAAACAATAGAAATAAGCCCATTTTTCTATATTTTTCCAGTTTTTACCCATTATTCGCCATTTTACCAATTTAAAAAAATTATTTCCTATATGTAGGACCCACTAAAATATGGAAAAACACAATGAAAAAATAATATAATGCAAAATAATCGGACGAAAAAAAAATGATTTTTTTGAAAAGTTGAAAACGCTGGGATTCGAACCTGCGCCCCCTCTCACCAGACGTCAGTTACTACTACGGTGTTTTGACCACCATACCACTAGAACACGAGAAGCCTGCCGCAATTTCTCTTCAAAAGTCCTCTGACGGTCAGCTATGCAATAGACCTTTGAGGGGTCCCCTGCAACCCCTAATTAACCTATAAAAATTTGCTCCGGCAGCCGTGCTTGGACCATTGACCTCTACTTAGGGCCCGAGTTTGAAAATTATAACTTAATATTAAAGAGAGTTAGACGGCTCTGAAATTCGATCCCCAGTCCGCCATTTTATTTCATATTTTATTTTTTTATTATTATTCCATTATGCGTTCGTTAACAAAGAAAGATGCCCGATTCTACTTATAGAACACCTTACGCATGATAAACTGCCGAATATATTGTAAAAATAATTTTAAACAATGGAAATAAGCCAATTTTCCTGTATTTTTCCAGTTTTTACCCATTATTCGCCATTTTACCAATTTAAAAAAATTATTTCCTATATGTAGGACCCACTAAAATATGGAAAAACACAATGAAAAAATAATATAATGCAAAATAATCGGAAGAAAAAAAAAGAAATTTTTTTGAAAAGTTGATAACGCTGGGATTCGAACCTGCGCCCCCTCACCCCAGACGTCAGTTACTACTGCGGTGTCTTGACCACCATACCACTAGAACACGAGAAGCCTGCCGCAATTTCTCTTCAAAAGTCCTCTGACGGTCAGCTATGCAATAGACCTTTGAGGGGTCCCCTGCAACCCCTAATTAACCTATAAAAATTTGCTCCGGCGGACGTGCTTGGACCATTGACCCCTACTTAGGGCCCGAGTTTGAAAATTATAACTTAATATTAAAGAGAGTTAGACGGCTTTGAAATTCGAACCCCAGTCCGCCATTTTACTTCATTTTTTATTTTTTAATATTATTCCATTATGCGTTCGTTAAAGAATAAAGATGCCCGATTCTACTTATAGAACACCTTACGCATGATAAACTGCCGAATGTATTGTAAAAAAAATTTAAAACAATGGAAATAAGCCAATTTTCCTGTATTTTTCCAGTTTTTACCCATTATTTGCAATTTTACCAATTTAAAAAAATTATTTCCTATATGTAGGACCCACTAAAATATGGAAAAACACAATGAAAAAATAATATAATGCAAAATAATCGGAAGAAAAAAACAGAAATTTTTTTGAAAAGTTTAAAACGCTGGGATTCGAACATAAGCCCCCTCACCCCAGGCGCCAGTTACTACTACGGTGTCTTGACCACCATGCCACTAGAATACGAGAAGCCTGCCGCAATTTCTCTTCAAAAGTCCTCTGACGGTCAGGAATGCATAAGACCTTTGAGGGGTCCCCTGCAACCCCTAACTAATCTATAAAAATTTGCTCCAACGGACGTGCTTTCAGTAATAAGGAATGTTGATTATTTTTGTCACCGTTCGGTTTTTATTGATATAGAATTTTGAATCATCCAGTAACTTGATCGATCAAAGTGAAACTAAATTTCCTTTTAAAGTAAAAAAATATTATTTTAATTCATTAAACGAAATCAATTAAATAATAAAAAAACAATAAGACAGCAAAAATATCGATAGACTATTACACTTAAATTTTATTCCCAATACGCAAGCTTTCTTATCCTGTTAGTTACTAGTAATGAACTAGAGTAAGCCATGAAGTTAAATGAACTTAGTGGCCTACCACAAGATAGGTACTAAAAAAAAACTAGTACTTGTAGCTGTGCTCTGTCCATCCTAGGATTTTCCAACCTGAAGGTGGGGTAGAGGGTCAGAACAATAGATATGATCCATCAATGTGTCAAAGGGGAAAATGTATTGTTATGAATAGATCTTTGAAGTGGGGACTCTTAAATTTTAACAAATGTCCATCGCCAAACATTTGGCGATGGGCATTTGTAAAATCTCTTCAGCAACCCCCAAAGATTGTACCACCGCGTGTTGTCAATATAGAATTTTTAGCAATCAAGATGGAGATAGTTTTTCATAGTTCAAGATTTGAAAAAAGAATCCTTGAACATGAAAAGTTAGACGGCTACTTATAGAAAGAGTCCTTGAAAGAGAGTTAGACGGCTTTGAAATTCGAACCCCAGTCCGCCATTTTATTTCATTTTTTATTTTTTTATTATTATTCCATTATGCGTTCGTCAACAAAGAAAGATGCCCGATTCTACTTATAGAACACCTTACGCATGATAAACTGCCGAATATATTGTAAAAATAATTTTAAACAATGGAAATAAGCCAATTTTCCTGTATTTTTCCAGTTTTTACCCATTATTCGCCATTTTACC